GAGTTGTAGTAGCATTAGCAGCATCTCCTAGTCATTACGGCACTGGCCTGGGACTCAAAACCTGAATTACATTCCTGGTTCTGTCACAGGCCTCCTAAAGCGATCTCAGGCAAGTCACTACTGCTCTATACCAGATTCCCCATCTGTCAAACAGAGATAATGATGCTCACCTCTTTTGTAAAGCGCTTTTGGACTTACTGAAGATGTATGCCATGCGAGAATTAGCTATTATTATATTACAGAAAGGAAGATCCAGCTTCTGTGGAAGCACCTCACACCGGCCCCATCTGGAAACAGAAAGCCGGACTCGCCGGAGGGGTGCATGGAATACCTCTTTTACAAACTGCAATTCAATAGCATGCTCTGATAGCACAGCTGACAAAAAGATTGGCATATCACCGGATAGGTGACATTTCAAAAGAATCTAAGCAAATGCCGGTGTTACTCTGAAGGGCCGGATGCATATTTCTATTATCTCGGTATCAAAGACGATGTGGCAATGTGAATGAAGGGTAAAGGTTCGGTGCCCTGTCTAGCACCAGAGGAAAGCTGCAACGCCGAACAACAGCCCCCCGCTGCAGCCTGTCCCCCAGCTGTCTGCTTTCTGACACTAATGCGGTGGGACAAATGAGGCTCCGACCGCACAACAGCTTCAGTTTGTGCTTCACGAGGTTCAGACAAGACGAGGAAACATGAACTGTACAGAGCAAAAAAAAAAAAGACGCTCTCCACTTTCTACCCTCAGTGAGTACACTGTTCTGCTTTCAAAACATTACTGCCAAAGAGGCAATACTTGCTATTCAGGGGATGGGAAGAGTCAAGGTATATCCTAATTGCACCAGAAAAACCTCAAACTCCATTAATCATGGTACCCTGTAGCAGTTATTCGTCTCATGCCATCTGTAAATTTGGGCAATTTATAGTTCAGAGTTCTTCTGAAATCCAATATTTATTTCTCAAGTAATTATGTTCTCCAGAAGTACATTCCACAATTGCTAAATTAAGTGAAACGAGTACCAGGCATAAAATGTCAAATTAAAAATTTAAAACAATTTCAAATCTCTCTTGCTAGAGCGTAGTTGCATAGATGTATCAGCATAACTCTGCTACAGACCAAATAAGAATAACAAATACAGAACAGGGCAGACCTGACATCACGGAGCAGAACTGGTTTAATATCCTGACCATTTTTTAAACACTCGGACATATTCCAATGCTAAAGGATCGCCAGAGCCTCCAGATGATTTCACAAGGTCGGTTTGCTCTATCCTCACTGCAGGTTGAAAACTCAAACAACTTTGTACAATGTTGTCACCCGCATTAATCTCACCACCAACCAAGATGTGATGGTACTGGGAAACGCACAGAAATCCAGGGAAAAGGAGATGGGAAAATAACACTGACAGACTGCCATCTCCACCCCAACATGCACACATGTATGGAAATAGGAAGATATCCATTTTGCAATGCATCGCAAAAGCACAGATGTGCATTACATGTGGAGGGGGTTTCCATGTGATGAATTGCAAGAGGCGTGATGTATTGTCATAGCTTGAACAAACTTCATTTATCTTTAACTCCATCACCTGACTTCATTTCTGCCATTCATCCATCTCTTCAGAAATTATTCCATCCTTCCAACACCCTGAGCACATTTAAACAAATGCCATTTTTTAAAGTCAACCTGCCAGAGAAATGTTGCCTCTCCTTCCTTCCACAGGGTGGAACCCAACCCCCCTGAAATGTCCTTACTCCAAGAAGCATAAGAGCAATAATTTAGCCACGAGCCTATAACGATTTTTCTATACCTAAAACATCAACTTTAAAAATCCATTCTTTTATGACTTTTTGTGCAAGAAGAGCTTGAATGAAACGAGGAAGATTCCCACCTTTCCGCAAGGACCTAACAGGTATATCTAAGCCTTGGAAGGGTGTGTGAGTATGGGAATTCAACCTGTTTCATAGAGAACTGGAAGAGATCATCTAGTCCAACCAGTGATTGAACCTGCAACCTTAGTACTGTATAATTAGCACCATGCTCTTAATCAACTGAGCTAAACAGTCACTTTAAGCCCATTGTCTCTATGTACCCAAAAGGCTATTTAGTAGAGGTGCAAAATAGAGATTTTGGGGGCCAAAACCGATAGCTGATTTTTAAGGTGTATTGGCTGATACCGATCTGATTTCCAATATGCAGCCTGGCAGCTTGAAGAGCTGCATGCAGCTGGTAAGTCTGTTTTTCACAGATCCATAGATGAAAATGTTACAGGTCAGAAGGGACCTCGGTAGATCATCAAGTCCGACCCCCTGCCCTGGGCATGAAAGAGTGCTGGGGTCAGACAACGCCAGCCAGGTGCTTGTCCAGCCTCCTCCTGAAGACCCACAGGGCAGGGGAGAGGCACCACCTCCCTTGGAAGCCCATTCCAGATTTTGGCAACACTCACTATAAAGAAGTCCTTCCTGATGTCCAACCTAACTCTGCTCCCCATCCGTTTGTGGCCATTGTTCCTAGTTACTCCAAGGGGTGCCCTGGTGAACAGAGCATCTCCTATCCCTTGATGACCCCCCTGATGAATTTGTAGATGACCACAAGATCACCTCTCAGCCTTCTCTTGCAGAGGCTGAAGAGATCCAAGGCCCCTGAGGTGAGGGAGGAGTGGAGCTGGGGCTGCCCAGACAGGGGGGGGGAGGGAGGAGGAAAGGAGGGTGCCCCCGGATCTGCGCGGGGCATGCTGCAGCTGTGGGCTGGGTTTGTAGCCACCCCAAGATTCACCTTAGTCCCCCCATAGCTCCCCTCCCAGCACCGTCGCTGCCCGACCCGAGCACAGCCTGGCCAAACCCCGCACCAGGAAGAACCCGATGCAGCCCCAGCCCACCCCACCCCGACCTGCACAGATTCAGGGGCACATCCCCCCCCCCGGAGGTACATGCAGCAGTGGGAGCCATTCCCCTCTCCCTTGCATCCCCCAAACAAGCCTCAGCTCTGTCCTGTGCCCTGCCCTGGCTGGGCAGCGCCTGCCACTGCCCCAGCCCCACTCCCTCCCCCACCACGGAGGCCTTGATCTGCACCCCTACACCCCTTACCTCCCCACTCCCCTTCCACCACCACAGACTTACCAGCTGCACACAGCTCTTCAAGCTGCCAGGCCGTGCTCCTTGCCGTCTATGTGCTACACTGTGGCTGTGCATGGACGGGCATTTATCGGCCAAGCTATCAGCCACATCAGGCCAATTTTTGATACAGTCAATTTTCTATATGTTGGTACCGATCCGATATCTGACCAATGTATCGATGCATCTCTACTATTTAGAGTTCTTTTGGGAGGCTTTATGGCTCCCTCTGACATCTGTACTAGCAGGTTCATGGTCCCTAAATCTTTGCAAATACAGTGTTACAAGAATTAGTGCCAAAAAAATAAAATAAAAAAAAGTGCTGAAAGCTCTCTCAAATATTTTTTCTCTAACACGGGAAGCATATTCAGTGCGTTTGCCTGCATGTAGGTATATGCACTCCTAGATAAAAGTTATCAGCTTTCATTCAGAACAACCTGCATAACTCACAAATGACTTCACCACTCATGGAGGATGCAACTGTCGCAAACTCTTGCTGATAAGGGAAAAATTACTTGCCTTGTAATTCTGTTTCCCTGCAGATAACATCTTGCAAGATTCTCACTCTTAGGCTTCAGCTCCCTAGAGTGAGACTGGCAGAACTCCCAAAAGGTTTTTTGGCCCTCAAGGGCAAGAGTAGAGCACAAGCTAGGCAATGACTGCCACCCTCCAAGCTTAATCCTTGCCTCTAACGTGCTCAAGTCAGCTTCGACTGCATTAGAGATTTCAAAATGTATGACATTTGTGCAAATAGAAAATGTATCACTACCCCAGGGCTGAATATTCCCCATCCCAAGGTTTAGATAGGTATACCCTTGGAGGGAAGCAGAGGTAAATCCACACCAGGGAAAGGAAAGATTAAAAAAAGGAAAAGAAAAAACAGACCCACATGTGTCAAACTGGTGCCTTAAAAATCTCTTTGAATCAGTATGAAGATTAAAGTAACACAAAGAGCGAGTTGTTTAAACCTTCATTATATATTGCTCACCACAAACTATTACTTATGCACTTCCTTCACACATGGCATGTGTGCAATTATCCTTTTATACATATATACGCACATATGTATACGGAGACAGTATATGTTACTGCAAAAACAAACCCAAAACAATGGTTTAGACGTACCCAACACAACACTTTCAAAAAGGGTAAAGTACACTCATGTAGGAAATGGAGCTTTTTCAGGGCTTATCCCAAAACACTGGAACAACTAACTCCTCCAGGAACCAAGGGCCCTCCTTGCACCCACCACAACTCGTTATCAGTGCTAAACCTGTTCCTTGGACCTCGCTGTCTAACGCACACCTAGCAACATGTGAATGCACGCATTTTTTATATAAAGATCCCAAGCAAAGCATTCTGCCGTACACACTGTGTGGCATTCCCCCAGCTTGCCACACTGCAGCGAGGAGTTAAGAGACATTAGGATGGTATAAACACATTTCTATCACAGAAGAGGCAGGATTCAGGAGCTCTATGGCACTGTTTAGAACCAGAATATCTGCTGGACCACACACACAGCAGCCTGGCAGCAGCCCCGGCTTGAGTGTTTAGTGTACTGCGCCAAAGGCATGACAATACAAGGGGACAAGGGGTTAGAGTCCTGACACAGTAACAAACAAAACATTACTGCTTGAAAGCACCTGACAGATCAGTTGTATCACAGCTTCACTTACCATCAAGATGAAGCTACCAGTGAAGTTGGTTGCTGCGATTTAAAGTTCTTTGGGAGGGTCTCACAGTCCTTTATAACACCAGTCACTTACCCAAAAATAAAGGCAGATTTCATCTCGTTAGCTTCTTAAGCCTGTATTTGAATGAATTTTCTAATTCTCTATTACCAAAAATGGCTGTTCCAAACAGTGCTTCACCCTTCGAGAGATCCTTACCTGCAGGACATCCTGGATCTTCACCCAGACATCGGCCATGTCATACAATTTGATATCACCATCGTACTGGATGGATGGAGAGGACACTGTCTGCTGAAGATATCCCAGGACCACAGAATGTGCAGTGGCCACAGCATTGAATTTGTCGAAGAGAAGTTCAAGCAATTCCAGAAGTAACCTGAAAGCCATCAAAAGAAGAACATCACTTGGTTTTCAAAAGACATATAACATTCATGAAATTAGAAGTCACAGAATCACAGAAAAAAGGGGGTAGGAAGGGACCTCAGGAGGTCACATCTAGTCCAACCCCCTGCTCCAAGCAGGACCATCCCCAACTAGATCATCCAACCCAAGGCTTTGTCTAGCTGGGTCTTAAAAACCTCCAAGGATGGAGAGTCCACAACCTCTCTGGGCAGCCTGTTGCAGTCCTTTATTACCCTTCTGGTGAGAATGTTTTTCCTCATATCTAACCTAAATGTCTCTTGCTGCAACTTGAGACTGTTGCTCCTTGCTCTGTCGTCTGCCACCACTGAGAACAGTCTAGCTCAGGGGTGAGCAAAGTATGGCTCGCAGGCTGCATCTAGCCTGCCAGCTGATTGCATCTGGCTCGTAGGTGGGCACCCACCAATTAACTGTATTTAGATTGGCCAGTGGCTGCCCCTACTCTGCTCCACATGGAGCTGAATTGTGCCTGCTCCTGCCTGGGACACCGCATGCTGAGCTCCCAGCCTCCCCTACCAGAAGGCCCCAGCCCCAGCCAGCAGGCACAGCTTCCAGACAGTGCTGCTCCTGCCGCTGCTGCAGCCACCCAGAGAACTGCTGGGCTCCCCCAGCCTCCAGCGACTCCTCACCCTGCCCTTGCTGCAGTGCTACAGGAAGCAGGTAGACAGGGGAAGCTGCAGTGTTGAGGGAAGTCGCGTGGGGAGCAGCTCTGCCTGCAGCTCGCTTTGGTCCTGCTCGTGCATGGCTGGGCAGGGGAGCGTGTGGATGGAAGTGGGACGTGAAGGAGCTTGGCTGCTCACAAAGCCACACTGGGTAACCCCAACCGCAACCCAAACTGCCCCACCATACCCCCACCCTCCAGCCTTGCTCTGGTGACCCTGTGGCTGTTCCCCAGCCCTGCCTCCATCCAAGAGTGGAAAATCAGGTAAGAACGGGCTGGGGGCGGGGGGAAGAAGGTGGACCGCCAGCGATGGCCCCGCTCTGTGGGACTCTAGCTCTATGTCTCCACATGCCACTCCCAGCTAGAGTGCCAGGAGCACCACGTGGAGGCAGAGAGCCAGCACAGCCTGATGGTACGGGACTTCCCAAAGCTCCTGGCACTGTAGTGTGCCACCGGGTCAAGCTGGCTCCGTGCCGCGCCATGTGGGTCCCGACCATGCAGCCGGAACCACGTTCTGCAGCGACAAGCTGGGCTGGTCCCATGCTGCGCCATGTGTGTCCCAGCCTTGCAGCCAGCAAATGCATGCCGCAGACGGGACAGGATGAGTAGGGCTGCCTCCATGAGGGACCCAGCCGTGCAGCCAGAACCGCATTCTCCCAGGCCAGGGCGGGCTGGGCTGGTCCCGTGCAGGTTCCAGGCTTGTAGCCAGGAACCACGTGCCACAACCAGGCTGGCTCCATGGTGTGCCACGTGGGTTCCAGTCTTGCAACCAGGCACCGCATGCTGCCAAGACAGGATGCGCCAGGCCAGGCCAGGTTGGCTCCATGCCGCGCAATGTGTCCCAGCCTTGCAGCGGGGAAGTGTGCGCTGCAGCTGTGACAGGATGAGCAGGGCTGGCTCCGCACCCCCAACACACCCCCACCTACCCCCATATCCTACCACTTACCCCCACAACCTCAAAGACACCCATACCCCCAACCATAACCATACACACCTCCCTACACCCACACACAGCCCCCACACACCGTCACACCCCCACCATAGCCCCACAAACACTCCCCATTATATCCACACACACAACACCCTCCCACACCCCCAAACACACCCACACCCTCCTACAGCCCCCCACACACACTCCCATCCCCCCAACCCTACCATACCCACACCCTCCCACACACCCCCACCCCAACCACACACCCCACACCCGCCCACCACACAACCCCTTGCCCCACTCCCACAATATACAAGAGTAGGAGTATACTTTGAGCTATTACGCAATCACCTCTAGATATACTATGCAAACACGTAAATCAAGACAAAAGTATTTTTTTTTAATAAAGTTAAAATAAATTATAGATGTTTGATTTTTTTAGTATACAACTTGTTTTTCTCCCGTTTCAAGGTGGCAAGACACCCCCCCCACCGCAAAAGAAGTACTTCCAGGGCAAGGGCGCGGACTTCCAGTAGCAAAGGCCAGGGATTAGGGGGCAGGACTTCCAGTCCCAAGATGGTAAACAGGGGATAGGGGCACCTGTCAAGGGGTGCCGCTACCCTTGTGGCCTTCAACAGCTCACCAAAACTTGTTCAGCAGCCCGCCACCCGAAATAATTGCCCACCCCTGATCTAGACCTTCACCTTCCTGTGCGAACTTCCTTCAGGTCACCATCTGGAGAACAGGTATAACAGTACATCCCTACTACAGGTGGGATGTAATACATTTTCCTCAGAGGTTGTGCGACAGAAATACAACAATGAAGGTTAAAGCAAAAAGCAGTGGGAAACATGACCTTGTGTTTTTCTCCTCTGAACTCAAAGATGTAAGAGTTCCAGGGACTTGCACACAGAGACTAGATACAATACAGTGCCAAGGATGGATTACAGGAAAAAAGAGGAGTATGGAATAGTTTAAAATTCTACAAGGAATCTCAGAAGCCTGAAGTGCCAGAGCTCATCAGCCGTGTCAATTATCGAGATTTTATTATTACACATAAGGTGTTATGGCTATAACCCCATCAAAACATACAACACATTAGCTCTTCCTATGGCTTCTTTACTGCCCAATTATTGTAATTAATGTACCGTTGCAAACGCCTAAAACTATGTTGTGATAAGACAATGACTTACCCCATTTAGTCTTATTATTTAGAAGAAAGAAAATTTCTATTAAGTTTACTGCTGTTTATTGAGCAATACAAACGCATACAATCCCAAAGTAACGTCAAGATACTTTTCCCTCTGCTCGAGTCAGACACTTAACTACTCTACACAACATCCCCTCCTTGACTTCAATACCAACACACACCAAAGGTAAAAGCAGAACATTATCCAAAGAAATGACTCTTCCAGATGGTTCAATATGTACACTATAAATCCCTCATACATGACCATCTAAAAGCAGTTATATGGGCAAATGTCAGAGATCTTCAACAGTTGTACAGTTAACACACCCGCAAAAGTCAAATATAGAACTCAACCAGTTAAGGGGAAAGAGCATCCTGATTAAATGGAAAGAGAAGACAAGCTTAGTAAGGTAGATCAGCAGAAGAGGGCTAGTTGAGAGGTCATCTACAGGCTTGGGACAACACAATGAAGTTCAACTCAGACAAATGTATAGCGCTACATCTAAGGGGAAAAAATAATGCATAAATTCAGAGTGGGAAATAACTGGTTGGGTGGTAGCACTGCTGAAAGAAATCTGGGGTTTTCTAATGGATCACAAACAACACGAATCAGCAGTGTGATACAGTTGCAAACACACTTTTGGGCTCCATCAACAGGAGGCTAGGTGCAAAACACAGGAAGCGACTGTGCCACTGCTCAGAGCTGGTTAAACTTCATCTTGAATACTGCGTGAAGTTTGGGGCTCCCGACTTAAGAGGGATGTGGAAACGCTGCAGAGGGTCCAGAGTCAGGTTACAAAAATGATAAGAGGCTTGGAAGACAAGCCAGAAGAGGAAAGGTAGAGAGAGTTGCATAGGTTTAGCTTGAAGAAAAGGAGATAAGGAGGGCATGATAGCAATTTTCATGCATTTGGAAGGCTGTTGTAAAGGAGAAAAGTTGTTTGCCCTTCTAACAGAGGGTAGGGCACAAAATTATGGCTTATCTTACAGCAAAGTAAATTTTGATTAGATCTCAGGAAAAACACCCTTACTGTTAGAGCAGTGAAGTAGTGAGCTACATTGCCTAGGGAAGTGTAAAATATATTCATTGGAGGTTTTCAAGAGGAGACTGGATAAGTCATTTGGATGGTGATGATTTAGGAACCATCCCTACATTTGCGCAGGGGGTTGGACCAGATGACTCTTGAAGTCCTATGATTTTATGTTATCATAAGAACACCAACGGGCTGAAAAGTCCCTGATCAGGAAAGCTTGGGCCTTCGGGAAGTTTGTTTCCCAACCTGAACTTCTTTTCTGCTTCCTCTGTATTACCATACTCCTTTGGGTCTTCACAAAGATCCAAACTCTTAAATCTTGCAAATCTGGAGCCAGATTTGAATTTGCAGTTCCAGCCCTTCTCCAAAAAACAAACCAACAGAGTACGCAAAGCCCCTGTGCTACAAAGCAATCCCTTCTTGATATACTCATATCTGGATATGAAGGCATTTTGGACAGAGACCTTTTCAACTCACCTCTAACACTACACAAATAACATCAGATTAGCAGCAGAGAAAAATGATAGCATGCGAATACCGTAAAGGCGAGTCAGCGCTTGTGAAGTCTGTTGTATCTTCAAAGTGTCAAAGACGTTTTTGTAGATCAGCAGTATATATTTGGGAAATAGAGCACTTATGTGATAAGGCATGTGGGGGTGTTAATGTAGCTTTATTTTAAGAATTTACATAACTCAAATGTATTTCAGCAATATAAACTTTTTCCTCAAGTTTTATCCGGGCTGCTCATTTTCAAAATTAGGAACAGAAACCTACACCAGAGTTGGTGGACTGGAGAAGAGCAGCCTACAGGTCTCAGCACATCTTCAGCTTTGGTGCAGATCAGAGGGGAGAGCAAAGATGCTCTGGAAATGGTAGGGCAGACAGCAGCAGGGAATGGTTGTACCCATATTACTAGTGCTGCATTTTAAACAGGTCAGGTTTAACCTGGTGGAAAGACTGGGTCTCACAAAAGACTGGGTCAAGTCAAGCAGTTGGGAGAAGACACTCCCCTTGCAAAGCCTGTCCTGTCTCAATTGCTGTTGAGATACTGATGTCATCACAGTTAGGGAAATGGGGCAGAAAGTCCTGAGAAAGGGCTTCTACCTCCGTTACAGAGAGTGTTTCTCCAGGAAACCAACTT